TCTTTCTGTTGTTGCTTGATTAACATCAATGACTCGGACAATAGCAACTAAATTAGGCTGCTGTCCCTTTAAAACCGAATGCACCGCTGCAAAGGATGCAATGTACTGATACACGTTCTCCCTGCTGTTTACGTTCACTTAAGATGTAATCTTAATCTGTGTTTACGTGAATACTCATCAAAACGGACAATTCAACATCATTTTGTGTGTAATTCTCCGTTCATGCGACACGAGAGAGTACTCGCACGCTGTGAGACGCGCTTTCTGTGTGTGTGTATGCTTCAGTGTGTGCGCTCAGAAAACCGCATTTCTCAAAAATTTCTGAACTCATTATATAGGTTTGATATTAAGGTTTTATCATGATAGACACTGATTTAACTGCGGTGACACACAACATGCCTTTATGTTAAAATTAAGTAAATCCACTTCTCATAAAGAACAAGAACATTGTCTTCTTTTTAATGAAATACCAATTGTTATATAGGTTATTTATGCATCCTTTTTAGCAACTTGTTTACCATATTCTTCATTCTTTCAAACAGACATATTTATTTCTATAAATAAATTTAGATTAATCTTTAGGGCTACTAAAGTTTTTCAGTCAAGAGCAGTGCATGATTTTCTGTCTTTCTGTTGTTGCTTGATTAACATCAATGACTCGGACAATAGCAGCTAAATTAGGCTGCTATCCCTTTAAAACCGAATGCACGGCTGCAATGGATGCCACGCAGCAGATTCGTTCTGAATGAATCTCTTCCCAAATCGTCCCTCCCTAACATTTTCATCTCGTTTTTATTTGTTGACGAAAATGTAAATAGAATTACGTCATAGTTTTTGTCATACAAAAAGAGTTTTAGTTCGTTATCGTCTCATTGTCGTCGGTGAAAAAAATGTTGTTGACGAAAATTATGACAAATTATTCATCAACGAAATTAACACTGCAGTGTACTCAGGCTTTTGGGGCCCTTGCCCTATCACAGCATCACAATGTCTAAGGGTGTCCAATTCTGCTCCTGGAGGTCCAGCATCCTGCAGAGTTTAGCTCCAACTTGCTTGCCTGGAAGTTTATAGTGCATCGGAAAACCTTGATTAGTTTCTACAGGTGTTTTTAATTATGGTTGGAGGTAAACTCTTCAGGGACAGGTTTGGACACCTCTGGTCTAAGAGTAGGGGTGTCTAATTGGCCTATCGGTAAGCCCCTCCCCTCGAACGCAGATGAGCCAATGGCAGTTGAGTGTCAGTTGCATGGGGACTGGAACTTGAACATCTTTAGCTCTCATCAGTTTGATGGCGTTTATGCTACAAAAATGGCAAAATGATGTGCCTGGGGTACTTGTATCACTGGTTCCAGGTTTCATAAGAGGATAGGCAATGCAAATTGGAATTTATTATTATTTTCTGGTTGTCATACTCTCATTAAGTTACAATTTTCATCTGCTCAAGCAGAACGTTAATGTCATCTAGTGCTTTAGCAAGGTATCTTTGGCTAAAACTAGCTAACATTAAAGTTAGTGAGTCCATGTTAACGTACAAACCTAAATAGCTAACTCTTCTCACATCATGTACAGTGTAGGTCAAAAACACATGAAGGTCTACATTTCAGTGGAACTCTGCAGGACTGCGGCTCTCTAGGACCGAACTTGCCTACCCCTGTCCTAGATGTTGTCATCTGCGACCACAACATGAGGCTTCTCCAGCTTGCATTGTGATCTGTAAACACTTGCTTCCAAATTAATCTTGTTACCCACTAGGGCTGTGCAATTAATCGCATGCGATTGTCATGCGCATCTCGTCAGTAAAGCCGGTTCCGTGATTAGTAATAAATCTCCATCACCTGCTTTCTTTCCATAGTAAACTGATTAAATGTAAAATTAATAAATTTTACATTTACATTTACAGATTAAAAGTAAATTAATTTAATTATACCCTGAACAGTGTTGATAATGCCGCTACATCTGATAGCAGGTGATGGCGATTTACTATTACTTTTAAAAAATGCAAAAATGTTATAAGAAAAGTCACTGACTTTTTGCGACAGGTGGGATTCAGCTTACGGCATTTCTCATTCATTCCTATGGTATCCGTAAATAACGATTGAGTGTCGCACAACTCTGACTGAACTTCAATGATGTCAAGGCTGTAATGTGATTGGTTATTACACCACACGTGATCCAAGTTAGCCATTAGGCTTTCTCCAATAGTAAGTAATACAAACACTCTCATCTCCCTATATTAAGACAATCTCTGGCAGGAGCATGGAGCATGGGCTCATTTGATTTGTGGCAGTGCATAAATGCCAACATCCTTGCACAGTTATCATGGCAAACACTGCTCTGCATTTTATTTTCAGAAAATGTACTAGTTTTCTCTAAGTATATTCTCTGGACTCTGAAAATTTGTATATATTTATTCATTCATCATTCCATCTGTGGATGCATCAGTCTTTCCATCCATGCTTTTTTCTTTCCTCAGAAGTGGAATGTGAGTCAAACCAAAATCCGTGTGATTTCTACCGTTCTTTTCATTTTGTTTGGTTGTCTCCTCTTCGTCGCCCTGCCGGCCATCATATTCAAACACATTGAGGGCTGGAGTGCACTGGAGTCCATCTACTTTGTCGTCATTACCTTGACAACCATTGGCTTTGGAGATTTTGTCGCGGGCGAGGGCGAGCGACGCCAGCACGAAGAGAACAGTGGTGAGCATAAACGGGAACACACATTCATGTGATTAGTAGTTTGCAAAATGGATTATAGCATCTTGTCTTGTTTGTTCAGGTGGTTCTGAGTTGGAGTACCTGGACTACTACAAGCCCCTGGTGTGGTTCTGGATCCTGATTGGTTTAGCGTACTTCGCTGCTGTTCTCAGTATGATTGGAGACTGGTTTCGTGTCATATCCAAGAAAACAAAAGAGGAGGTATGTTCTCATGTGAAGCAATACATTATGCAATCTTTAAACAATAGCTGCATCCACACATATATGCAAGGCTTTAAAACCAACATGAAATTAAAACTGAACCTATTTACAGGGTTAGTTCACCCCAAAATAAAAATTCTGTCATAATTTACTCACCCTCATGTTGTTCCAAACCCAATTCAATGAAATGTACAGTATGCGTGTTGGTCAATATTTATATGTGAATAAAACCCTAAACTAACTATCATATAATGCGATCATATCTCTTCAAAAGACTTGGATTAAACCGCTGGATTCATATGGATATCATTTATTTCAATAGCCCGATACGTGATGTAAACAGGATTATTAAATATTAGATATTTCATATTATTAAATACAAAGCACAAACATTTGTTTTATTTGTTTTATCCAAACACTATAAAAATGGTTTGTATCAAATAAAGAGAAGTTTAAAAAAAGAAAATCATCAAACCAACATCTGTCTCCAGTTCTCCTAGCAACTATCAGAGTTTGGTTCCCTATTTCATAACTAACCATAATGTTGCTCCAAACCATTTTGCTGTATTTGCTTTTTTTTCTCCAATGGCAGATGATGGCAGATGGTCATGTCTATCAAGCGCTAAATAGGGAAAAACAGCAGAGTCAAAGAAGTTTCATTAAAATCCATAGACTTAATTTATTTCTGTCATGACAACTCTCGGAGGGATTGGCATGGTAATGTACATGACAGTGTTAATGTATTTGGTCTTGGCGGAATAGATCTGCTACGCTGCTGCTGCTACTGCCAATACATCCACAACATGCTGCTGTGAGCATGTAAGAAATATTGCTGCTGCAAATATAACATACATGAAATAACCCCAATATAGCATACATGAATCACCTCGTAGCAGATCTATACAGGTGGAGCTGGGGAAGGGGAAGGGTTTCTGAAGCAAGCTGCAACTGCTACGGCAAGCACTAGTCTATATATTTGAATGTTGAGCAGCGAGCTCATTGGCTACCGATACAGGAGAGAACCAATCAGCTGTGCCATGTGATAATGATGTCATTAGGTCAGATTGAGTTAGACCTATCGGACTGCGCCATCTAGAGTTTCATGCCAGAACTCTGTATATATTCTATGTATTCTGAAGTCATATGATAGCATTTGTGTAAAGAACAAACTAAAATATTTTTAAAATAAAGTCATTTTTCACTCATAACATTCCCCTCTCATCCATCTCCCAAATGTCATTCTCATTCCACAAATTTGAAATGAAACATTGTGTTCATTAAGGCATGCGAGAACATATGGCAGTTGGTTTCAACTTGGTTATATTTGTCTAAATTTGCCATTTTGCCATTTGTACTTGCAAATAATGATTGAATGTCACAAAGACAACCATATGCTTTCAGAAAACTTGGCACATGAGTCACACAGACCACTTTTATGGTGTTTTAGGTGTTTTTCTTTTTTTTTTTTTTTTCTTTTGGAGCATGTGGTTTGGTCGCAATAAAGTGCTATTATATGGAAAAAGAGCTACATAAAGCTCCTTAAAAAAAAGTTACTTCAAAAATTTCCCTTCGAACAGCATGAGTAAATAATGACAAAATATTTAGTGCACTAACCCAAAAACATTATTTTGTATTATCAATCTATTTCTTTTGGGCATATAGGTAGGAGAATTTCGAGCTCATGCTGCTGAATGGACTGCTAATGTGTCTGCTGAGTTTAAAGAGACACGCCGGCGACTTAGTGTCGACATTTACGACAGATTCCAGCGTGCTGCATCGATCAAGCGCAAACTGTCCGCTGAAATAAACCTCAGCCCACCTGTCAATCCGCAGATGACACCAGGGAAACGTGCACGTTCAGTTAACCTTGGAGATGAGAGAGAAGTGTATCCCTACACGTTTGTACGAAACGGAAGCTTATTCCTCAACGGTCTCATCCCGGATTACGCTGATCATCGGGATATCACTAAAACGCAAACAAAATGAACAGGAAATAAAGATGTTCACTGATAAACTGTGAAAAGATAAGATGTATAAAAAAGAATACAACGAAAGAAAAAATAAGGGGGCAAAGACTTCACATTTTATATGAAGAAAATATGCCCTAACTTTTAATGTGGACAAAAATCATTGTTTTCCATTGACGGCCATGCAAAAGTAGCCATGTATTCTAATTAATAATTTTGTTAGCCACGTATAACAAGTTATTTAATTTTTTTAATTTATATGATTACAGATCAATATGCTGTAAATGTTTCACAAGCTTTCTGTGGCAAGGCTCTACAAGGCATGACAGTCTTTCTGCAAGAATGGGCTAATATAGACAGCCGAGCAACTGCAATTGAAATGAATAGGAATGCTAACGGAGAGCTCTCTTGAGGTTGTGTCTAACACACTACAAGACTATATCTACAAAGCCTGACTTTTGGTTCTGCCAGCATAATGAAGTCACTACCAGAAGAGACACAGTCGACAGGTAGGTGAAAGTGACTATAGCAGTCCTGCTCACATTTTATATGAAGAAAATATGCCCTAACTTTTAATGTGGACAAAAATCATTGTTTTCCATTGACGGCCATGCAAAAGTAGCCATGTATTCTAATTAATAATTTTGTTAGCCACGTATAACAAGTTATTTAATTTTTTTAATTTATATGATTACAGATCAATATGCTGTAAATGTTTCACAAGCTTTCTGTGGCAAGGCTCTACAAGGCATGACAGTCTTTCTGCAAGAATGGGCTAATATAGACAGCCGAGCAACTGCAACTGAAATGAATAGGAATGCTAACGGAGAGCTCTCTTGAGGTTGTGTCTAACACACTACAAGACTATATCTACAAAGCCTGACTTTTGGTTCTGCCAGCAATGAACGAGTCACTAGAAGAATTAAGTCACTACCAGAAGAGACACAGTCGACAGGTAGGTGAAAGTGACTATAGCAGTCCTGCTGTCAATCATGTCAAAATGATCATATTTATGAGATGAGCACACATGAACATCACCACAATGTCTTAATTACCAGTTACAGAGACTTCTTTAAGGATTGTTTTAACCCTCCTAAGAAAAAAGGGTCACACATTGGCTGCTGGCTGGTTATTTTTAGATCTTTCTTAGGTGATAAATTCTGTTTCACAATTATTTGTACACTCTCAAAAAAAAAGGTACAAAAGGGATCACTGGGGCAATACCCTTTCAAAAGGTACTGATATTGCAAGTGATAGTTGCTAATATGTACATTTAAGGTAATAAAATACACCCTTTAGGGGTAAATAAGGTACAAAGGCATACCTTTTGAAAGGGTACTGGCCCGGCAACAGCTTTTGTACCATTGTCTCATAGTGTATAAGCAAATGTTTGGAACTTCACAACAGTAAAAATTTACACTACACTTCTAAAAGCTGAAATATAAAGACAATATGATAATTGAACATGTTTTTGGACCAGGTTGCTTCCATCTGATGAAAAAAGATAAATAACATGACTTCATGTCAAAATCACATTATGATAGCGAAACTGTTCTATGCATCCAGCAGCTGCACAACATTTCTAGATTTTATGCTTAAAACACATTTGGATTTTTTTGTCATAGACATAAAAGTATGACTTTTCGTAAAGCTGCTTTGAAACACTGTGTATTGTGAAAAGCCACTATACACATAAATTTGACTCGACTTAATGCATACAGCCAAAGTCAACCATAGCACTCTTTTAAATGTTTTATGGTCTCACCCACTTCATTTGTGTGTGCCTTTGTTCAATATTGTTGATGATATATAGATTTCACTTAAAATAATTAAAAACAATTTATCTGCCCTACAGTCCTCCCCATTGATTTCCTATGATCAGTCACCTTTGACAGCCAATGTGTGTCTTTTTTATGACCACTCATCAAATGAAGGCCAGTTTTTTTTTTCTTCTCCAGATTGTGTATTTCTAAAAAGTAACCAAGTTTTGGACTTGAGGAAACAAAAATGAAATCAGTCAAAAATGATTAAAAAAATGAATTGATTTGTGACTTGAGGTCTGAAGTGGACTCGAAGGCAGCAAAAGTATCTGAGCACAGGGTGCTCAAGTGTAGGGGGTCATTGTGGAGGCAGGTATAAAAGTGTTCTTCATGTAACATATTGCTCCAAATATAATCAACAAAGCTTTTAACACTGCAAGTATTAGTTTGTGCAGTGCAGCTTCAGTTGAACCATTCCCATTTTTGATGTGCTGCATGACTACTCCAGGCACTTTTTCCCGTGTCCTTGCTATTCGCTTAAGTCATGCTGTTTCTGGGGCCAAGCCTCTACTTCATGTCAAGTGAGAACACTCTCAACAGCTGTTTATGCTTTTAAAAATTCACAGCGTACACTAGTCTGTGGATTCATGGCACCTGGGAAAGATGCTTTTTAGCAATTCACAAAACATTAATCACTGTTGAGCCATTTGAGATTTTGGTATGGAGATAACGGTTAGGGTCATGATTTTTCTGTGGTATACAGCACACTGTGGGTGTATATTAGGACCATTTATTGTTTGGTTATGGGATCTGAAGCATCGTTTGGACCCAAAACGATGATGCATGTCATTAAGTGCATGGGTGAAGAGTATGAATGTTTGGTTCCATGTGGATTTAACCTGCTCTCTTTAAACCTTCTAAAATTATTCAGATAATCATTATGGTGTTCTCAAATAGCCCTTACAAAATGAGCTTTACTGTACAAAGCAATGGATTCCATTGAAAATTAAGTAGGATACAAACTATAATTTTATAGTTGCTGATATATATCCCCCAACTCAAGCTGATTCATGGCTAGTGGGCAGCTTCAACATATGCAGATTAGACAAGCTCAAACCATTGACCTTTTCCCATGCAGACACGGTGAAGAAGGATATGAGGAGAGTAATTGGATTTCAATGGGAGAACATACTCACCGTTTTGCTGATGACGATGACGCTGCTCCTTATGTTTTGTGTTTAATTGGGAACAGGTGCCTTCAGTTCATGGTTAATTATTGCTTCCCATAGCAACCCTGACAGGCTCACAGAAGGCCATCCAGTATGTAATCAACTAAAGCTGTTTTGATATTATGAGAGAACACATTTAAAACAGTCACTTACAATTGAATGTTTTGTTTCAAATATATCCTTTTAGCAAACATTAACTACCATTCAAAAGTGTGGGGTTTGTAATTTTTACTTTTGGTCACTTTTAGTGTCAGATATTTCTGCCTGGACTGAAAATCAACTTCTGCAATCCGGACAAAAACTGCTTAACCCACCCTAACCAATCAGACCTCAAATATCCCACTGTAGCCAGCAGAGCTGAGTAAATCACTTACAAATTTTAGTCTGTTACTGAACTGTAATTAGTAACGTAATCTAGGTTACTCGTTTTAGGTAATGTATTCTGACTACTTTTTTAGATTACTTTTTTTTTTATCAAACTTGTTTTAAACGTACCATTAAATGTGCCAAGAAAATATGGTAACACTTTAGTATAGGGACCAATTCATTCTGATAGTTGTTTATTAGCATGCATATTACTAGCATACCGGCTGTTTATTAGTGCTTATAAAGCACATATTCTCCATGAGCATATTCTCCATCCCTAACCCTACCCAATACCTAAATTTAACAACTACCTTGCTAACTATTTCATGGCTAGTGGGCAGCTTCAACATATGCAGATTAGACAAGCTCAAACCATTGACCTTTTCCCATGCAGACACGGTGAAGAAGGATATGAGGAGAGTAATTGGATTTCAATGGGAGAACATACTCACCGTTTTGCTGATGACGATGACGCTGCTCCTTATGTTTTGTGTTTAATTGGGAACAGGTGCCTTCAGTTCATGGTTAATTATTGCTTCCCATAGCAACCCTGACAGGCTCACAGAAGGCCATCCAGTATGTAATCAACTAAAGCTGTTTTGATATTATGAGAGAACACATTTAAAACAGTCACTTACAATTGAATGTTTTGTTTCAAATATATCCTTTTAGCAAACATTAACTACCATTCAAAAGTGTGGGGTTTGTAATTTTTACTTTTGGTCACTTTTAGTGTCAGATATTTCTGCCTGGACTGAAAATCAACTTCTGCAATCCGGACAAAAACTGCTTAACCCACCCTAACCAATCAGACCTCAAATATCCCACTGTAGCCAGCAGAGCTGAGTAAATCACTTACAAATTTTAGTCTGTTACTGAACTGTAATTAGTAACGTAATCTAGGTTACTCGTTTTAGGTAATGTATTCTGACTACTTTTTTAGATTACTTTTTTTTTTATCAAACTTGTTTTAAACGTACCATTAAATGTGCCAAGAAAATATGGTAACACTTTAGTATAGGGACCAATTCATTCTGATAGTTGTTTATTAGCATGCATATTACTAGCATACCGGCTGTTTATTAGTGCTTATAAAGCACATATTCTCCATGAGCATATTCTCCATCCCTAACCCTACCCAATACCTAAATTTAACAACTACCTTGCTAACTATTAATAAGCAACAAATTAGGAGTTTATTGAGGCAAAAGTCATAGTTTTGTATCAGCATCATAAAATGCATTAAACATTTCATTGGTGAGTTGACAGTGAGTGAATAGTGAGTTGATAAAAAAAAGCTAATATTTAATGAAATCATAAAAATGTAAAATAAAAATAATTGGAACACTAAACATTTACTCCAGATAACTATGACATCAAAGAACTGTAAACATGCAAATGTGTTGTGAAATTATTTGAAATTTTAACTTACTCAGAGATATTTCAAGTAAATGCTTTAAGGTGTTTTGCTGACAAAAAAATTTGGAAATCCCTGCATTATATGAACAAACATTAATAAACATGAAAACAGAAAGGAACATTTAGTTTTAGAAAGAAACATTTAAAAAAAACAAATTAGGGAGAATCAATAAATTATGAATAATTTACTGCCCTTGTGTGAATATGTAATCAAGTAATCCATTAAAATGTAACTAATCTGATTATGAGTATTTTAAATGTAATGTACTCTAATTACAAGTAATAGACTTTTTGGTAACACTTTATTTTAAGGTGTGCTTGTTAAACAATACATGTACTTACTATTGTAATAACTATAAATTATGCATAATTTCATGCAAGTAGCCCTAAAACAAACCCTAATCCTAACCCTAACCATATAGTAAGTACATGTAGTTAATTAATATTACTCAGTACTTAAATGTATAACTACACTGTAACAAGGACACCTTGAAATAAAGTGTAACCGACCTTTTGAATCTGATTACGTAAAACCGATTACATGTAATCAGTTACTACCCAGAAACAATCACATCTACTGTTACTGAACTTACTGGAAGTTTTTCATGATCGTTCAATGCAAACCAAGTACACCAAAATGTTTTAACATGATGGTTTTTGTGCTGATGCCTCATTACAGCTCATTATAAAACGGATAGTTCTGGTCCTTGATTCTGATTGGCTGAGCCGTGTTCTACGCTGTTGTAAATTACTCTACAAACACACACCTTTGTTTACTTCTGTCTGTTGCTTGGCAACCACTTTGTTGGAACCACAACTGATTCTGAGGAGCTACATTGTTTGGTGGAAGAATACTGTTTTTATTAATATCATTACACTTTATTTGCTCTGTTTTATTTTGTGAAACCTTACTACGTATATGGAATAACCGTTTTATAAAAGCAATAAGCCCCACGAAGCCGTGGTTTACAGTGAATTTATAACAGCTAAGGGGGTTTTAGCTGTTGACAATGCCCCTTAGCTGTTATAAATTCACTGTAAACCACGGCTTCTTGGGGCTTATTGCTTTACTTTAATGTAACCGTATTGTTCTGCTTAGCGAGCGCTGGCTGAGACGGAGAGATTGCAGTTGCCATGGAGATCTGAGACACGTTTTAAGCCACAGCTCCACTCTGCTGCGAGGAATACTACGGTTGCCGAGCCATGACCGTAATTTCGTCCTTCTCGTACCCACTTGACACTCTTCAGGGAATGAAGAGTAACAGACAAATCACACACAAGACTGTTTACAGATTAAATGTGTCCTCAGATGATTTACTCTGAAGGAGGCAGGAAATTATGTTTCTCTCGTAGTAGACTCACAGCTGAAAGCATTCAGGACTGTTGTTTATAAATGAATTGTACTTTTTTCTCTAAAAAGTCTGTACACTGTCTTGAAGGCAATTAAAATGCCATTTTCTTGTACAGGGTAGCTCTGGCTGAACAAAACGCACTGATTTCAAAATGATTGCGATATTTAAGTGCTATTCTGTTTTGTCTCTGCTTAGTTAACAACACAAAGAAAGAAGCAATTAAGATCTTCAGGCTGTTTTTTTAAACTGTGTGTGAACCAGATGCTGTGAGTGACGATTTCATTTACTGTATATCTTAGTCATAGAGCTGCATCACAATTGATTTCTGAAGGCTTTTGAGAGCCTCATTTTTATGAAATTGGTTGCAAGTTTGAGATGGTTGGTTGTAACACTCACAGTCACAATAATGATCATGCTGAGCAATTTCAGGCATCAAAAGGTGAAGAGCAGAGGTTAGACGAAGTGTTACCGTAACAAAATGACTTGAAATTGAGCTAGAAGCATTTACGTTCCTGTTCTTGGATGGAGTTTGTTTCAGACTCAATCTTTTATTTACCAAATGTACATCAAGTTTCTCCAAAAGCACAGAGACTTTGCGAAATCTACCATACTGTATGTGAGCATGTAAATTCTGCAGTTCGAATTGCTATTGCATTTTGTAATAATATACAGTATTTCTACACTATAGGATCACTTAAGTGAAATGTTTTAGGGGTGAAATAAGAAAAATAATAATCATAGTTGACAAATGATTGTATGTTAGTATATTGGTGCTCTGCATCTTTAAGCCAAAATAGAGGGAGTAAAGCTGATAATTAGTGTGATTGTTAACTGCACCAGCCTTTTTCAAATAAACTGAATCACATACATTAGATGTGTTTTTAATGGCTGTTCTGTGGCAATAAATCTTGACAATAAATGGGAATTAATGCCGTTTCATTTTGTGAAAGTTTTTGAATGCATCGTTTTGCGTATGGCCAAGTCACTGCAGCACTGATATATGTCAATACTATGATTACAATATAGCTTGATCTAAAATACAGAGGATCACTTGTATCGTCCCTATATATATCATCATATTGCCCAGAACCTAAAACTTGCTCTGTGGTAAATTATAGACATATGTGACTTTCTGTAAAGGATTTAAAGGACTTAAAGGATTTTTAGGCTGCATTAATTAGGTCAGTTTTGGTTCCTTGCCGCTTTCAATGATGAGCTGCCTTTAACTGAAAAATGAGTGTTTACTATTGTCCTTTTGCATTATTGACACACTATTTTCCTAATAAATGCTGTTCAGTTGCTTTGACACAATCTGTATTGTTAAAAGCGCTATATAAATAAAGTTGACTTGACTTGACTTGTAAAGATGCTGTTGATGACTTGACTTGACTTGGAAGCTTACAGATAACAACACTATTCTTTAAAGGTACCATAACAGTCAGAACTTAATTTGTTCCATAACTGCAGTGGAAACATTGCTTTTTCAGTCCAAAAATAATAAAACCACAACCGCATTCATTTGAATTAAATATTAATAATTAAGTTGAATTAAATATACATAACATTCATCGGGTTGCTGCAAAAACGATACAAAATAAAAGTCTGAACATCCAGCCATATGTAACATATAATATATTAACATTTCAATATTTCTGCTCATTAAAATGTTAGGCATAAAGTAGGCAATTATTGAGTTTTTATTGAAGTCAGTTTTACTTGCTCTCTGTGAAAGCCATATGCCAAGAGTCACAAAATTAGCTTATCTTCTAGTTAAGTGTAAGGTATAAGTAGGTAAGTTTATCAAACTGAGTATATTTCTGAGTAAATAACTTGGGAAGTGAAGATATCTTATAGATATCAGAGACCTCAAGACTGTTCAGAAATCACAGTCCCAGCCTGAAAACTCCTCCTCTGCTTGGGTCTTATCATAGGGAAAGCGGTCAAAGTTTATATAGCAAGGACCCTGTAAACCAAAGAAACCACAAAAACACAATCAGTGAAACAGACTTTGTTACTTGGTGGCTTTTCATGTTTGGATTTTCACATTTGTCCATTAGCCTCCACTGATCATTGAAAATTTTTTTAAAGGGGTCATATGATGCGATTTCAATTTTTCCTTTCTCTTTGGAGTGTTACAAGCTCTTGGTGCATAAAGAAGATCTGTAAAGAGACTGTAAAGTCTCAAATCCAAAGAGATATTCTTTACAAAATTTAAGAGTCAGACACCAGCCCGGGGTCGTCACATGTGGTTGTCGCAAGCCCGCCGGCTGTTCCTCACTTATAAGCCGTAATTATGTCCCCACTGGATGCAACGAATGCCTCATTTATAATGGGGTTTTCATGTTTTTGTCTCGTCGCTCCAGCCGGGACAAGGCATCACAGTATGGTAGGGGCGTAACATTTCCGTCACACGCTTGAGGTATTCGGCCAATCACAACGCACCGGATAGCTGGCCAATCACAGCACACCTTGCTTTTTCAGACCGATGAGCTTTGTAAAAATCGACGCGTTTCAAAAAGGCGGGGCATAGAGGAGAAACAATAATGTACAGTATGTGGAAAATAATGTTTTTTTAACCTTAAACCGCATAAACACATTTCATTACACCAAATACACAAAATAATGTTCTTTTTAGCAACATCATATGACCCCTTTAAGGGAGTGGAGCTAAAGTGTTACTTTTGTAAGCTGTGAAAAAAAGTTGACCTTTCTTATGAGTCGAATAGTTGGTGCCTCCAGCTGCCCCATTCTTAATTTATGCCAGTTAATGCTGTTAAACCACCTGAGAAATAATTGAGAGAAAATGTCAATACACACATTACAGGAAAAACATTAATAACAAAAAAATTAAAAGCACACGTCACATTAGCATACTCATTACCATTACCATAACCATACTCAACTCAGTACTACTCTGTGTGTATACACACACACACATTTAAATTCAATATACACTATTATAATACACAATATACATTGATAAAGCTTACCTGTGATGTCGGACATCTTTGATTCCATTTTTTGTATTGCCCAGACGCTGGCCCGGACGTGATCTGCATGTCATGTAAGCAACACACAAACTGAAGATTAATCATGTAAATACCTAAATGACATTAAGGGGTGACATTTAAATAAAATGTGAAAAATTTGTAAAACCAAGCCAAAGTCTTCATAATAGATCGTCAGAAATGACCTGCACAATTTGCTGATGAGAGATTTGGCACCTTCCCCCATATATGACGGGAAATTCAGCACACCATCCAAGATCTTGGCATAGATCTTCTGTGGGTCTGAACTGGAGAATGGCGGACTTTCGGACAAATAAAACAAGAAAAGCACATTTAAACACAAGTATTTTATTTATTTTCACCCACAAAGTTTTATCGCTTATTGGCCCTGATCTAAAAATGAAATCCGTGCAAACTTGATAGCACATGCAAACACTGTCTGAACGAAGGACTGCATGCTTGAAATCTGCAAAGCAGCGCATCATTTCAGGTTCCTTTGATGAATATATGTGACCCTGGAGCACAAAAGCAGTCATAAGTCGCTGGGGTATATTTGTAGCAATAGCCAACAATGAAATTGACCCTTATGACTGGTTTTGTGCTCCAGGGTCACATATGATTTTGGGGTGTTCACATGCAAAATACAGGGCGTTGAATATTCTTGTGTAAAATTATTTACTAACTTTGAAAATAATTTCGGAAATGATAATTGCTACTGCAAATTATTACATTTGAAATGTACTGAACTTCATGCATTAATGTGAATTGTGACAGAACAAAATTTGAAAAGTGATAATACTATACTTTAGTGCCATAGCCTTATGGACAGCACATATGCATACGGTGCAACAGGAAAAAATACATTAACATAAGCAATATGACATTGCATTCCTCTAAATAAATGACATCAACCGTGTTAGCTTTGTACCCCCTGTTTATATACAGCCCTAGTGTTTCACTTGTTCTTTGTCAGTTGTTGAATGTAATGTCCAGTGTTTTTGTTTCTTTCCTCCCAGTGTCATTTGTTTTCTTTGTTTCTTTGATTAGATCCTCTGCTCTGCCTGCACATTACAGATTCTTCCAGTTTGTAAAACAACAGCCTTCACCCAATTTAACTTATTTGATAAAAAGAACATAATAATAATAAAAAATAAATAACTCACTGTTGCCACACGTGTGGATTACATGAGAAAACTTTATTACCTGCCCACAAGTAGCTCATAGATTAGAACACCAAGTGACCAGAAGTCAGCAGCAAAGTCATGGCCCTGGTTCTGAATGATCTCTGGAGGCATGTACTCAGGAGTACCGCAGAACGAATATGTCTTCTCACCCCGAGAAAGCTCTTTTGCAAAACCAAAATCAACCTGAAAAAAATCCAAGATAAAAAAAAGAGCAAGAAAGAAGTGCATCTTTTAGTGGGCGTATTAAATTGTCACAGTGACAAATGATCACAATTGTATTAACAGCTTATCAGTGTAAATGCCTGTAATTGCTCTATTCGCTGAAAGTGGAAAAACAGATCCTTGTTTAAATACATCACAGTTGCATGCTGCCTCACATTAAAAACCAGGGTTATAGGCACTATAGATGTATATGACAGGAGAAGCAGGGAAAAGGGAATTTCTTTTGCTTTACCAATTTCACATATCCTTTGGAGTCCAGCATGAGGTTTTCTGGTTTCAGGTCTCGATACAGGATCCCTTTGTTATGGAGGTATGCAAAGGCTTCAACCACACACGCTGTTATGAACACGGCTATATTCTCCTCGAAGCGCCCTCTGCAACATGATGACACATGCGCCCACATTCACACATTCACTAATTAGGGAAATACATATCTGCAGTCAAACATTTGACAGAGACAGAAAATGGATTCTAATTAATGGTCTACCATATTATGCAAGAAAGATGACACTTATGCATTTTCTAAGAACACATAAGATGTTCTGAGTGGTTGTTAATGCATTGTTGTTATGTGGTTGCTAGGGTTTTCCTGCTAGTAAGTTTCTATGCAATGCAACAACACAGCAACAGCAGCTGTCATAAGGATGCTTGCCTTAGCAAACAACACTGATTCATTTGTGAATGTCTTACGCCTCTTTCAGCTTGGTCCAGATTTCCCCACCAGGACAAAACTCCATGATCATATAGACGTAGCGAGAATCTTTGAAGGCAGCATGCAGCCTGAACAACAGCAGAAAATTCAAACCGGAATTTCATATGTGATTATAGGTTAGGTAGGTAGCTGCACTAACCTGACAATGAAGTCACATTGGATTGCCTGGAGAATTTTCTTTTCTAGGAGAATGTGTCCTTCCTGCTTCTTTGCAACAACATGCTGTTTACTGATCTTCTTCATAGCAAAGTACATTCTGTGCTGCAAGGTAGTTACCTGGTAAATAAGCAACCAATCATCATTAATCTGGCCCAAGTAGTGTTTTGACATTAAAAGGACTTCGTCTATGCTCTCCTCTCATACCAGCTCCACTTTTCCAAACCCCCCGACTCCAAGAGTGACAGGCTCTCCGTGATAACTTCCCTCCTGGTACAGTACAGGGACGAGATCTTTCAGCTTTAGAGATGTTTCTGGCCTGGAGACAGCAATACTTATAATATATAATTCATCAGAAATGACAACATAATGTATAATTCATATTATAACTCATTTAAAGGCTGCATTTAGCTGTAGACAGGCACCTAGCTGTATGCTTAGAAAAACTCAGATTCATTCAAACAGTGGCTTAGAAAGATGCCACTGAACAATTATATAAAAAACTACACTATAATACACTAATACTGTACATCATATAGTGAAAGTATTCCCTATAGTATGTCTAATAGTTTGGATTTAATATGGAGATTAATTTCAGTATCCACACTATTGTTCAAAAATTTGGGATCAGTTAAGATTTTCATTTTCTTATGTTCACCAAGGCCGCATTTATTTGATCAAAAAAACAGTATAAAAACAGTAATATTGTGAAATATTATTACAGTTTAAAATAACTGTTTTCTATTTGAATATATTTTAAAATGAAATTTATTCTGATGCGAAGCTGAATTTTCAGCATCATTACTCCAGGCTTCAGTGACACATGATCCTTCAGAAATCATTCTGATATGCTGATTTTTTTCTAATATGCTCACACTCTAAAAAATGCTGGGTTAAATATAACCCAGCGCTGGGTTAAAAAACGGGACAAACCCAGCTATTGGGTTGTTTTGAGCTGGGTTTGTCCCTTTTTAACCCAGCATTTTTTAGAGTGCAAGAAACATTTATTATTATTATTATCGCAGTAAAAAAAATGGTTGTCTGGAAACCATGATATAGTGTCTTTTTTAAGGATTCTTTGCTGAACAGAAAATTTGAGGATCAGCATTTATTCGAAATAGAGATATAACATTATAAATGTCTTTACTGTAATTTTTTATCAGTTTAATGAACTGAATAATCAACATACTGAATAAAACTATTCATTTCTTTAAAAAAGATAGTGATCCCAAACTTTTAAACAGTAGTCTATATGAAACAAGCTTAATATATGACTGTGAGTTTGTTTTCTGTCCTACGTGAAACTATATATTTAAAACAAATAATAACAAAATACTCAACTTACCCAACTTTCTCTGGCTTTACATCATCCTCTAGTACATCAGCACTACAAAAACAGTTTTTGAAAAAGAACAATATGTCAGCACCAAAATAAACTAAACCACTGTTGCAAAACACTAGAATAATAATATACACTTAGCAATCTAAAACAGAGAACAGAACGCACAATAACAGCCGATAATGAGCCAGCTGTAAACATGTCCGTGTAGCACAAAATATTTCTACTGCCTGACAGATATGTCACACTTTATAACCTGTCAGATAACTAGTGAAGAATCCTCTCTGCTAGGGTTGTGACGGTGAGGAAATTTTCCCACCGGTTAATCAACGTGTGACAATACCGATAATACCGGTATCACCGGGGGTGCAGGGGCGTTCCCTCTTTTCCTCGCTTTCCTTAGCTTTTAAATAGCTTGCAAAAGCGGCGTGCGGATTTTACTTTCACTTTCAAACAGCGGCAATTCGGCGTAAAGCAATTGTTCGTTTTTAGTTCGTTTGAATTTTCCCTCTTTTCCTTGCTTTTCTTCACTTTTAAATAGCATCAGACGATGCCGCGATTATAAATGAGCGTGACTCCTGGTTAACATGTATTAAAAGGGGTCGTGTTTAGTCACTATTTAGTGTGGTATTTTTTGACAATATTCGCTCATCATGACAGCAAAATAGGGCATTCTAAGTCAATATACTGCAGTGTTTACTCTCTCAATCAGTAGAAAATATGGTTAACACCCGGTCATGCATGAAAAAAAATACCGTCATGTACCGTGAAATAAATTTTTGGTCATACCGCCCAGCACAATAACTTACATAAACTTTAAATAGGTATACAAAACTGGAAATGAGTAAACGTATAATATATAACCAAATAAATAAGAAACGTAGAAAGTTTATTAGCAAAACGAATAAGTAAGCTTGGAGGCAAGTTTAAATAAAGTAAAAATCAGCAAACACTGTGGAACCAATTAATAGTGTCTGTTCTTTTACTGAACTAAATAATTTATATTACTATAAAAAAATTCAAAACGACGGTGGGGGTCGGTGCCGCGGTGGGCAAGTGACGTAACCGGTGTTGCGGCTTCACACCGGTATCACCGTCAGCACTGTCTATATCGCGGCAAGCCTACTCTCTGCTTGTGAATCTTTGCAAGAACTGATTTATGACTAAAATAATTTGCTATTTGTCTATGCTTCAAATCTAGCAAAATCAGAAAACACCACTGATCTGTGTTTGCAAAAGGATTTTCTGATGGCTTTTCCTTCTTGTTAATGGTATATAAACATTAACTCCGCATGCTAAAAGTGACTAAGTTGAAGACTATATTGAAAATCTTTACAAATGTAGAAGTTACAAAGCAGGAAAACTCACTCGTCATGGAGCTCAAGGCTTTCAAAAGGAATGGTCTCCTCAAAAACCCTGTGAGAAATAAAGGACTGATTATTTATCAGATATACTCAATCAAGGGAATTATGTGATTGCATCTGTACAAACTAAGTAAAGCAATATTGTCATCACTGACATCAAACTCACTCTTTATCAATGGAAAAGCAAGTGACAGCTCCCACCGCTGTGCATGTGGCTGTCCTGAGGATCTCTCTGCATTAAACACAATAGAAGATTTACTTGACTTTTACATTTAAACCAGATTTTGATATCATAATTCTGTGATAACTATCTATGGCTTACATCATTTACAAAGGAAGCCTACCTGATAACTGTATCTAGAAAATTACATCTTTAAAAACAATCATTTAAAATAACCAGCTGATCAATGATTAACAAATGAAGAGTTAATTTGCAAAAACCGATAACCGATAACTTTTTTTCAGAAATCACGTTTTTTTATTGCGCATTCCAAGTAATATCAATCAAACTGCAGTTGGGTTGTTTTGATTAAGTAATAATAACTTAAACAAATACAGGTAATTTACAAAATTAAAGTTCATTGAAAGTATGTTTTTTTTACATATTAAAAGTTTGTTTTATAGCAAAAGCAGATAACTCCAACAGTCGTTTTTTGGCAAAAGCAGATAACTCCACATTTCATGTTATAGAGTTTTAAAAAAAACTCGTTTAATCTTTGTAATCTCCTCAGATGACAATGTAGATGCCTGACAAACGTTGTTGTTGTTGTGATCATAAACTGTATGGATGTGATTACACACAATACACGGAGCTTTTCCCTCACCATTGTAACGCGCTGCTTTTGCAAGGTTCCGTGAAAACGTTTCAGCTTTTATTTTCCTTTTTCGCCCTGAAGAAGATATCACAGGTTCATCGAGTTCGTCTAAATTATCTATCATCGTTCACTTTTAGTCAGCTTTGACGAAACTCCTCTCAGCTAGCACGTCTTTTCAAAGTGAAAGTAGCCTTGTCACCTGACCTGAATACAGCGTGCTGGTTCGCTAAAATGGATTTATCGGCTTCTGCTCAAAAACAACAAGGGCGCTTGTCAGCTTCTGCAGTGAAACGTGAACTCGTGATGCCTTGAAAGTGGACAAAACCAGCTTTTTTGACAAAACGTGTTTAGGGTTCAGATCGTGCTATATGTGGAGAATAATGCACGGCAATCAGCTCATTTTTTTAAAGTGGCGTTTATCGGTTTTTGCAAATGAACTCTTCAAATATTTATTTATGATATTGTATTTCTAATGATCCCATTTTTTGTCACTAAGTAACAGTGACCATGGTTACCGTATTAGAGCCAGTTCTCCAAAGTGTTCCCCCTCACCCATCTTACGAATGATTTTCTGCTGTCCGTTCACTTTTTTTGTCACTAAAACCTAATGGGAAATAGACAGAATCCTGACCAGCTGTTTTAAGCAAGACTTATTTTACAGTAGCATTTAAATTCAACACAAACACAGAGATTATTACGTGCAAAGTTTGATTCTTGCATATTTTGTGTTTGTAAAAGTGCTCAAAAACACATATTTAAGTTGTAATGAGTTTCTTTTACCTCTCCTTTGAGAATGATGTAAAACGCATTGCCCTCTGCTCCCTCTCCGACAATCATTTCATTGTTCTGAAACTTCACCTTTCAGGGGAACAAACACGAAAAAGACTTTGAATCACCGTGTCATGCTTTGCTAGAAGAAAATATACTGGACTTTGTGTCAAAATAAGATTTATGAACTCTTCATTGTGACCCTCAGATGCTTCTTCCTGAACAATATATCGAGGCCAAAATATGCTATTTGCTTGATATTGAGGAAAGCACACATTCCCTTAGTCTTTCATGAGACTAAGATTTGCCTTATGTCTTCCTATTGTAGGCTCACAAGACATATTCAGTAACATATTCAGTTAATATTCAGTAATGCTGCATTATCGATTTGACTACATTGACACCACTGGATGAGAATAAAACTTTAGGTTACTCACGTAACCCCGGTTCTCTGATAACATGAGTGAGGTATCTCACTATGGGGTATAGACAACTCCCGTATTGCAGATATGCTGTCTGAAGCAGGCATGTCAACCAACTCAGTGATGTGTGATAGCATAAGAATGAAAACCCTCCACTATTCACCGAATAGAACTGGGATATGTGAAAAAAATAAAATAAATAAATAAAAACGTCTTCTGTACGAGTGTTTTTTATTTTATTTTATTTTTTTACACAGGACGGAATGAGCCAACGACAGCTCTGTAACATCCAACCTATAAAATCTGACAAACGTGTGTGGCGATGCCCAACTCGCCACCGCACAAATGTCTTGAATTGAAACGCCCTTAAACAATGCCCACAAGGTGGCCACGCCTCGGGTACTATGAGCCCTCAGCCCCTCCGGAGGACTAAGACCTATGCTATTATAACCCAATATAATAGCTTCCACTACCCAGTGGGACAGGCGCTGACGAGAAATAGGTTTACCCTTATGAGAATCAGCCCATGAAACAAATAACTGATTACTCTTCCGCAGCGCTTTCGTTCTGTTTACATAGCAACGCAGCGCACGGACAGGGCACAAACAGTGAAGCCGCTCTTCTTCTGGTGATGAAAAGAGCGGATGAAAAGCCAATAAATCTACTTGATTACAGGCTAGAGCTGACTTGCTCACTTTAGGCACGAACGCTGGATTGGTTTTGAGAGACACTCTCGAGTAATCCATAGCGAACTGCATACAGGAGTTATGAATCGACAAAGCATGAAGTTCACTAACCCGCTTAGCAGATGAAACAGCCAGTAATAATGCGGTCTTTAGCGAAAGGAGCTTCAGATCGCTGCTGTGTGTAGGTTCAAAAGGTGTACGAGACAGACAGATCCCACGGTGGAATCAGTGGCTTTGACACCCTGTTTAAACACCGCGCACCTCTAATAAACCTGCATACCAGAGGGTATCGACCCATAGTGTTATTGTCAATCCCCACATGACACGCAGAAATCACCGCGAGATACACCTTAACGGTAGAAAAAGCTCTACCTTTATCCAAAAGTTCTTGCAGAAAACATAACACATCTGCACCAGAGCAGAGAAACGGAACAATGTGCTTATGTGCGCACCATTGCTCGAAAAACATTCCATTTCCTATCGTAAGCAGAGTGCGTCGAGGCAGCCCTCACGTTCTGAATTGTCTCAATCACCCTCGGAGGCAACCCAGTAGCATTTAAGTTTAACCTCTCACGGGCCAAGCCCAAAGAGCAACTTTGTCCGGGGCGGGGTGAAAAATCTCCCCGCGCGCTTGTGAGAGGAGGTCTCTGCGCAGCGGGAGAGGCCAGGGCTGGTCGCATAGGAGCTGCATTATCTCTGTCAGCCACAATTTCCCCGGCCAGTTCGGGGCAATCAATATGACTGAGTGACCGCACTCCCTTACCCTTCTTAGAGTTGGTACGATCAGACTTAGCGGCGGAAACACGTAAAGCAGTACATTTGGCCATGGGTGCGCTAGGGCATCCACACCCATAGGCGCAGCGTCCCTCGCTAGCGAGAAGAACAGAAGGCAGTGAGTGTTTTCGTGCGATGCGAAGAGATCTACGGCAGCGCGGCCGAATCTTCTCCACAACTGGCCCACTACCTGAGGGAGGAGTGTCCATTCTCCATACCGAGGATTCCCCCTGGACAGGAGATCCGCCCCCGCATTCATTATTGTGCGTTGCCCGTAATGAATGAAAGTGTTTCCTGCCCTACACAATCAGTTTCTGTGCCAGACTGTGAAGCTGAGGAGAGCGTGTACCCCCTTGGCGATTTATATATGCCACCGTGGTCGTGTTGTCTGATCTGATCAGAACATGGTGGTTCCGCAGAAACTGCACAAAATGTTTCAAAGCTAGAAACACTGTTAACAGTTCTAGGTAATTTATGTGCGCGCCCTGCAGCGAGACGGGCCATTTCCCTTTCGCTATTCTGCCCTCGCACACTGCATCCCAACCTGAAAGCGACGCGTCCGTCGTTACCACCTTCCTCATGGAAACTGCACCCAGCGGAGTCCCTGATTCAAGGAACAAGTGGTTTCTCCAATGACGGAGAGCACGCATACAAAGTGGTGACACCATCACTCTGCGGTTGAGGTGGCGTTTTGGACATAAGTGTTGTGCCGCTGTCCAATTCTGAAACTCTCTCATTCGCAACAGTCCCAAAGGAATAACCGAGACTGTCGAGGCCATCAGCCCCAGAAGGCGTAAACACAGTCTGAATGAGACCTTGTTCCCTTTTTGAAAAAGGGATAGACAGCTGCGAATTGACCTGATGCGCTCCTCTGACAGAAACGCTTGATACCGATCTGAGTTCAGTCTGAGGCCTAGATAAATTAGCTCCTGAGTGGGCACCAGGCAGCTTTTTGTCTCGTTTATCTTGAAGCCTAAGCGCTCCAAATGAGACACAAGCATCTTCGTGTCTGTCTCCGCTTGCTGCCGTGACAGAGCGCAGAGGAGTAGATCATCCAAATAAGCTGACACTCTGAGATCCGCTGTTCTCAGCGGTGATAGAGCCGCTTCTATACACTTGCTGAACGTTCTTGGAGCTAATGAGAGCCCGAAAGGAACAGTCGTAAACTCGTAGGCCGTGCCCTGATAGGCAAACCTGAGGAATTTCCTGTGTGCCGGATAGCTGTCTATATGGAAATATGTGTCTTCCAGATCAACTGAGGTGAACCAGTCTTTCTCGCGAATAAAATGTGACAGCGCTTTGAATGTGGGCATCTGAGGTGTTTGTTGAGGTTCCGCAAATCCAGAATGGGATGGAGACCTCCCCCTCTCTTGGGAATTACAAAGTACCGGGAGTAAAAGCTGTGCTGGCTGTCCTCCGGCGGCACAATTCGAATAGCTTTTTTCCTAATTAAAGAGGCTGCTTCTTCCTCTAAAACTTGAGCTGACGCGCCTTCTGCAGCTGACATCAACACACTGTTGAACACTGGTGGTTTTACAGCAAACTGCAGACGATAACCCTTCAGTATCGTAGATAAAACCCAGGGGTGTACTGCGCATGCGCGCCAGCTCTCCACGTGAGCAGCGAGCGGACTGCAGCGGCTCTTGCCCACTAATGGTGCGATCGCGCCATCTAGCAGGGGAGCTGGCTGGTGCCAACTCCACACCTGAACTGGTCAAAAGAGAACTTTTTGACATTTCCTTGAACAGTTCCCGAGTCCAACGCCTTCTTTTGGTGGCAGGGGGAGAAAATAACCACTCTTTTTGAGGGAGGATAACAACAGATACTCCACGAGTGCTGTTGCTCGTCCCCTCGTCCAGAACATGAGGACGGGTTAGGTTGCCCAGCGTTTCTTTCCTCCCTGAGGGTTCGCCGGTCTGTGTCTAGCCGCCGATGCTGCAAAGGAAG